CGTCCGCGGAGCACCCGGCGCGTGCCGGACTGGGCCGGGCGCTAGGGACGGAGGGTCCTTCCCGAAGGCGCAAGGCCCTGCTCTCGGGCTTCGTTCTGGCCGGAAGCAGGCCAGAGTCAAGTAGACAGCTGAACAGGAAACTCGGACTATGATAAGGTAGAGAGTAAACCGGGGAAAGGGCGCGGGGGGGCCTGGAAGGGCCTCCTAAGGGGATCCTGTTTCCACGGAGACCCTAACGAGGAGGGAGTAGAGGGAACGGCCTGTGCAACGGCCCGGGGAAATATACTTGCAGGTAAGTGATACCTCCAAGAAGCAGCTCCTCCTTTGCCATGGTTGGTCTGAGAAGCCGTTACATGTGGAAACTGAGGCTGAGAGAGGTGAAGGGACTGGCTTAAGGTGACACAGCAAAATGCTGGCAGAAGGACTGGGACTCAACAGAAGGGGACCGGGAAGCCCGAAGTTGTCACCTAGGGCATCCAGTTCATCACATTTGTCTGACAGCTGTGTCTACTCTGCACCTCTTCAGGGCGCTACTCAGGGCCAGGTGCCCTTGTCTTCCACCTGAAGGACGCCAGCAGCCCCCATTTCCATTCTCCATACGGCAGCCAGACTCTGCTCAAAACAACCTCCAGCCAAAGCCCTCAGTGGGTCATTCCCTCTGGATAAAATATGAACTCTACAAGTTGAGTGACCGTGGATTATCACCCAATGAGCCCACTCGTCAGTTTAAAAGGGGACCTCATCAGGACAGCAAGTGGAAGCCAGGACTGTCCAGGACACACCAGGATGGATGGGCACGCTACGCACAAGGCCCTGCACCCGGGGCTGGGACTAGGATGGGACCAGTGAGGTGTCCGGGGCATCCAGTTCAAGGAGGCTTTCACTCGGGCCCCAACTCTGCATTTGCACAGCCTGCACCTGGGACACTGGCTGAACCTCTGCTGCTACACTGGTCCTTTTCAAGGCCCCGGAACACAACACGCCCTCCCTCTCCTCAGGGCCTTTGCCTGCGTTCCTGCTCTTCAGTGGTCAGATCCAGCATCACCCCGTCAGGGAAGCCTTCCCTGATTTCCCCAGCCTGGTCAAATTCGGCTATCCTTTACTCTCAAAGTGCCAGATGTTCCTCCTTCCAGCACTGACCACATGGGAAGCACTTGACATTATTTCGTGTATCCCAGGATACATGTTTACTTTGGGGAGCACAGAAAATATTGATCCCAGATTTGGAGTCACTGTAAAGTGTCAGTAGTGAGTGGAAGAGTTTGGGCTTCTAAGGTGGACGCACCCCTGAAGTGAGGTTTTCTGGGTTCAAGTCTTTTCATTGCTCACTTGGCTTTGTGACTTCAGGTAAGAGACTTGAACCTCTCCTGCTACCAGTTTTCCCCTCAAAAAGGGGGATTGCTTAGTGTCGCCTTCAGAGGGTTGCTATGGAGACAAAATGCTTTAATAAAATTCTTGGATGGGACACTAGAACTGAATTTTTTTTTTTTTTTTGAGTTGGAGACTCACTGTGTCGCCCAGGCTGGAGTGTAGTGGCACGCTCACGGCCACCACGGCCTCCACCTTCTGGCCTCAGGCGATCCTTCTGCTTTAGCCTTCCAAGGAGCTGGAACCACAGGCACATGCCACCACGCCCGGCTAATTTTTGGATTTATTGTAGAGACGAGGTCTCGCCAAGTTGCCCAGGCTGGTCTCGAACCTCGGGGCTCAAGCAGCCCTCTCTTCTCCGCCCCCAGAGTGCTGGGGTGACAGGCGTGAGCCACCGCACCAGGCGAAGAGCTGATACTGATCAAGCTGTTATTTCCAGCGTTTATTCCTAGCAACTCCTAGGAATATCCCCGTTTTGGAGACGAGAAACTCAGACTCAGGGCTAACAGGTGGAATGAGGACTGAAACACAAGCCTGTTATCCATGATGCTCATGAGTGTGTACTCGCCTCGATTCCTTGACTCACGTAGGAAATTCTTGCAAGCAAATCTGACAATAAGGGAATTCCCGTGCAGAGCGTGACGCGGGAGGAAGTTAAGCGGGACGGCGCGGGGCATGCTGGTTGTTGTAGGCCGGCGTGTCGCGGAGCCCGCTGGGAGTCGTAGTGCGGCCCGCGCCCACACGCCCGGAGAGGCCCCGCCCCGTCCCGGACGTCACGGCCGGGCCCGGGCGGGACTCCGCGGCGCCTGCGCCTCTTGCCCGCCTGGGCGCGTGAGCCGGTGGCTCGGCCGGGGCCGGGGCCGCGGAGCGTTGGGCGGATTACCGCGGTTGATAGAGCTAGGGAATTTAGAAGCGGGCTTGGCGCCGAGCGCTCCGCCAGCATTCGCTGCTGCTGTTTCTAAGTAGTCCTCGGCGACCCTTGAAAGCAGCTCTTATCTTACCTCCCCGTTTGCCAGACGGGGAGGCCGAGGCTGGGAGGAGGGTGGCTCTGCGGGGGCGCAGCAAGAAGGGCGCGAGAGCCGCGCCGGAGTCCAGTCCTCTTAGTCCTGGGCACCTGCCGGTTCCCCGTGACGAGGGAGGTGGCGACGGGGAGGTTCTAAGCAAAATGTGGGCGGGTGTGCGTTTTCACGAAGTGCGTCCTGGCTGCCTCGAGGAGACCCCCGTGCGCAGCAGCAGTGTCGGAGGCAGGGAGTCCAGAGAGCCAGTGTGTTGGGCACTGTTTACTGCCAGTCCGTCACCATGTCCCCACGTGGTGGGGAGTGTTTGGAACGTTTCTCTCTGCTGATAGAAACTAGAGAGAAAGTCTTTTCTCCTTCCTACAATATGCGGCCGTGACGGTTGGAGCTGTGGCGGCCACGTTGAGACCATGAGGCACACGCGTAAGGTCAAAAAGCTGACGCATGGAACATGTCTGCGTAGAAGGGTGGCAGGAGGCAAGTCCTGAAGGCTGTGGTTGAGCACTTGAAGGAATCCCGGGACTGCCACCCACAGATGTCTTGAGACACGAGATAACGAATATTTGTTGCATAAGCTGATCTTAAAGGCAGGCTTTTGTTACCTGCAGCCAAAAAGCTTACCTAATACACGCAGGAAGCTGCTGCAGTGGTTCAGTAGACTGATCTCAACAAGTGGGAAAACCCTGGGGCTGGCTTGGGATCTCGGATGTAGAGGGCATGAGTAATTTAAAAGAGTATTTTCCAAATATAAAAGCCAGAAAATTCCATGACATCCACAACCTTTATAGATAAGAAACCCCCACCCTCATTACGGCCCAGAAAGTAAGGCTGATGAGATGTTGACAGGAAGGATCATGGAGCCTCCGGAGACAGTGGAATCCCCGGAAGGGATCTGCGGTTGACAGGGTGTGGAATTCCTTTGCTAGTGGAATTCCATGGCAGATGTGTGGAGTCATGTCCCCCGAGGTGTGACTGAGCAGAGCTTTGATTTTATTCAGTGTGTGATGAAGTTTCTAAAATACGCAGCCAGACTGGGCTCAGGGGTTCACACCTGTAATCCCAGCACTTTGGGAGGCTGAGGCAGGAGGATCGCTTAAAGGAGTCCAGAAGTTCGAGACTAGCCTGGGCAACACAGCGAGACCCCCATCTCTACAAAAAAACCTGTAAAAATTAGCTAGATATGGTGGTGAGTGCCTGTAGTCCCAGCTGCTTGGGAGGCTGAGGCAGAAGGATTGCCTGAGCCCAGGAAGACCAGGCTGTGTGAGCCGTGATTGTGCCACTGCACTCCAGCCTGGGTGACAGAGTAAGACTCTGACTCAAAAAAAGGAAAAAAAATACAGCCAAAAGGGGTGGGTGGGTGGGGGAGGTCTCGGTACACTCATTAACTCCTTTTTCTCTTGATGGACATCTGGGTGGTTTTTATCGATTTTTCCCTTTATAATTTGTTTCTGTAATGTGTGAATTTTGTATCATATGTAATTTTTGTGATCAGGAAAAGAATGAAAAGCAGAGGTCTGGGTCTGGAGTGAGGTGGGGGATGAGAAAAAGAATGAGTTTCCCTAATTTATAAAGAGCCCTTGCTACTCATTTAAAAAAAAAAAAAAAAAAGCCAGGCACAGTGACTCACACCTGTAATCCCACACTAAGGGAGGTGGAGGCAAGAGGATTGCCAGAGCCCAGGGGTTCGAGACCAGCCTGGGCAACTTGGTGAGACCTCGTCTCTACAATAAATCAAAAAACTAGCCGAATGTGACTGCGGTTCCACCTATTTAGAAGGCTGAGGTGGAAGGACCACCTGAGCCCATAAGATTGAGGCGGTGGTGGCCGTGAGTGTGCCACTGTCCTCCAGCTTGGACAACAGAGTGAAACTCAAAAAAAATTTTTTTTAATGGGCCGGACACAATGGCTCATGCCTGTAATCCTAGCACTTTGGGACGCTGAGGCAGGAGGATTGCTTGAGCCCAGGGATTTGAGACCAACGTATGCAACATAGCGTGATCTTCTCTCTACAAAAATTTTGAAAAATTAGCCAGGTGTGGTGGCACGCGCCTGTGGTCCCAGCTACTTGGGAGGCTGAGGCAGAAGGATCGCCTGAACCCAGGAAGTCAAGGCTGCGGTGAGCTGTGATCGTGCCACCGCACTCAATAGAGTGAGACCCTGACTCAAAAAAAACCAAAAGTAAGTCAAAAGAAAGATGATCATCATAGCAGACATTTATTGGGCACTTACTGTATTCCTGAATGCAGTGTTTTGCTTTAGACATGTCTTTAATCTTCCCAGTGACCCTATAAGGTAGGGACATGATTATCCCCATTCTGCAGATGAGGAAACTGAGATGCAGAAAAGTCAAGCAACTTGCCCAAAATCACAAGCTTGTAAGAACTGGGATTTGAACACACCCTTAAACACGACTACCTTGAACGTGACTACCTGCCTCCCAAGAAAAATAGAAAACGGACCTGAACAGCCAAGGAAATGCAAATACCTTTAAACGCACAATCAGATGCCCCGTCTCACTCAGCATATTGTATGTCAATGTCTCTGAGATGCAGATTTTTACACATAAACAGCTCTGAAATCAGGATGCATCTTAGAATCAATGACATCTTAGATTCAGTGAAATACAGTAAGAGAAATGCAAATTAAAACCACCTATCAGATTGGCAAAGAACAAAACATTTGATAACACACTCTGCTGGCAAGGGTGTGGGAGAAGAGGGCCTCTCAAAAGTTGTGAGAGTTTAAGTGAACAAGGTTCCGAGGAAAACAACGGTGTGCCCCGTCGAGATTCAAAACACAGGCACCCTTTGACCTGGCCATTCAGTTTCTAGAAATGGCCCTTCAGACCTGCTGGTCCTTGTGACCACGGACTTTGGTTCTCTGTTGCACATAACAGCCGTTTGTAATACCGAGGACTGAAAACCGCCTCATCGGCTGAGGTGGAGGGAAAAAAAAGAAGGTTGGCCAGGCACTGGCTCACGCCTGCGGGAAGCTGAAGTGGAAGGATTGCCTGAGGCCAGGAGTTCAAGACCAGCCTGGGCAACACAGCAAAACCCCATTTCTACAAATAACAAGATTAATTAGCCAGGCATGGTAGTGCATGTCTGTAGCCGCTGAGGCAGAGGGATCACTTGAGTCCAGGGGGTCAAGGCTGCTGCTAGCTATGATTGTCCCACCATTCTCCAGCCTGGGCAATAGAGTCAGACCCTGTCTCTTCAACAAAAAAGAAAAAAGAAAAGAAGAAGGTGGGGTCCATCCTGAAGTCGGAATGTTGGAATGCTGTGGCAGCTGTCAAGAGCAGTAAGGAAGCTTTCCAAGTGTTGATGATAACATGATCTCCAAAGTGTGTTAAGTGAAAAGCTGGAGCAGTGGCTCATACCTGTAATTCCAGCACTTTGGAAGGTGGAGGCACAAGGATTGCTGGAGCCCAGGAATTCCGGACCAGCCTGGGCAACTTGGTGAGACCTCATCTCTACAATAAATCAAAAAATCAGCCGGGCGTGGTAGCGCACGCCTGTAATTCCGGCTACTCGGAAGGCTGAGGTGGAAGATCGCTGGAGCCCGGCAGGTCGAGGCTGCGGTGGCCGGGAGCGGCCACTGCACTCCAGTCTGGGCGACAGACAGAGTGAGACTCCAACTCAAAAAAAAAAAAAGTATGTTACGTGAGAAAGGGAAGGTGCAGTTCTGTCGTGTCCTACCTGTTGAGAAGGGGGTGGGGCAGACACACCTCTGTGCCTGCATCAGGAACTGCAGGAGTCTTGGAGTGATGGCCTCTAAGGAGGGAAACGGGACTTTTGGGAACATGAGTCAGGGAGCAACTTACTCCTTACACTTTGCCAGGGAAGGGCTGGCCACTTGTTGCTGTCAAGGAAGGTTTGGTCATTGACGCAACCATTCAACTCTGCTGCAACGTGAAAGTGGCTTGGGACCATCTGCAAATACACTGGCATGGGTGTGGGGCAGTTAAGCTTTGTAGACAACACTGAAACGCGAACTTCCTGTGCTGGGAAATATTATCCCCCTCCCCAACCTTTAAAAAAAAGTGCTCGTAGCCAGGCTCGGTGGCTCAGCCTGTAATCCCGCACCTTTGGGAGACTGAGGTGAGTGGATTGCCTGAGCACGCGGGTTCGAGACCCACCTGGGCAACGAGACCTCATCTCTACAATAAATCAAAAAATCAGCCAGGCGTGGTAGCGCACGCCTGTAGTTCTGGCTACTTGGGATAAAGTGCTGGGATAACAAGCGTGAACCCTGGTGCATGGCCTTGTTTCTTGTTCTCTACCTTATGCAGGCAGTGCGTGTTAGAAAACAAAATTGAAAAGGGTAGCAAGCCGGGTGTAGTGGCTCATGCCTGTCCTCCCAGCACTTTAGGAGGCCAAGGTGAGAGGATTGCCTGAGCTCAGGGGTTCGAGACCAGCCCGGGCAACTTGAGGAGACCTTACCTCTACAATAAATCAAAAAATTAGCCGGGTGTAGTGGTGCACGACTGTAATTCCAGCTACTTGGAAGGCTGAAGTGGAAGGATTGCCTGAACCCAGCAGGTTGAGGCTGCGATGGCCATGAGCGTGTCACTGCACTCTATCCTGGGCGACAGAGTGAGACTTCGATTAAAAAATAAACAAAAGGGTAGCACGGACATTTTTGGTGATCAAAAGGTGTGGAGTTAAAGTTGGAGGCATGTGCCCAGGCCCCTCCTGAAGAGATGCGAGGGCCCGGTGCAGTGGCTCACGCCTGTCATCCCAGCACTTTGGAATGCTGAGACGGGAGGATCCCTTGAGCCCACAAGTTTGAGACCACCCTGGGCAACATGGTGAGACCCTGTGGCTATGAAAAATTAAAAGATGAGCCATGGGTGCTGGCGCATGCCTGTAGTCCCAGCGACTTGAGAGGCGGAGGCAGGAGGATCGTCCTGGAGCCCAGGGGTCCAGCGCTGCAGGGAGCTGTGGCTGTGCCACTCACCTCCAGCCTGGGCGGCAGAGACCCTGTCTCTAGAAATAGAGGTGAGCACAGGGGATGCGTGACATCCCAGGCAGAGCTGGAAATCTGCCTTTGCCCGCGTGCTGCCTACCTGGCGCCACCACCAGGGAGCAGCACGTGCCTGCCGAAACCAGCAGCCCCACCAATGGCACCTGCTGTGTTTTGCCCATGGTGTTTTAAACTTGGAACCAGCATTTTAAAGCCTGGATTTCTGCTAGGTGCAGGGGCTCCCGCCTGTCATCCCAGCACTTTGGGAGGCCGAGGCGAGTGGATTGCTTGAGCCCAGGGGTGCGAGACCAGCCCGGGCAACTTGACTAGACCTTGTCTCTGCAATAAATCAAAAAATTAGCTGGGCGTGGCAGCGTGTGCCTGTAGTTCCAGCTACTTGGAAGGCTGGGCGGAAGGATCGCCGGAGCCCAGCGGGTCGAGACTGCGGTGGCCGGGAGCGGCCACTGCCCTCCAGCCTGGGCGACAGAGTGATGCTTAAGCTCCAAACCAACCAAATCTCTTTAACTGGCTGATGTGATTCGCAGCTGCCCCCTGGGGTCTGATGTCCCTGCGCTGCCCAGTCCCTTGCCGCAGCCCGTTTCTCACACGTGTGCACTTTTCTCCTCGGGGATGGGTGTCCTGCCATCTGCTTGCCTCCTCCCTCCCATGGAGGTGTTAAAGCACGAGGGCTCGGGGTGAGACCTGGGCTCAGACCCTGGTGACCCAGCTACCTGCTGTGTGGTGTGGCCTTGGGCATGCTACATGATAGCCGTGCCTCCGTTTCCCCATCTGCGAGTGGTGCTAGGTGCATTCCTCAGAGCTGCAGGCACTTCTTGATGGGGTCCGTGCCAGAGCCCCCTGCACAATCGGCCATGAGGTGAGTGCTCAGTGAGCGCCAAGCAGCACTTTCACCTGTCTGGCCCTCAAGGGCACTTGTCTGCTAGCCCCTGATCTCACAAGGGACCTGACACTTGGACCCAAGGCATACCTTCTTCTGTTTTTGAGTCAGGGTCTCTTCACCCAGGCTGGAGTCCAGTAGTGTGTTCATAGCTCACTGCAGCCTCCAACTCCTGGACTCAAGTGATCCTCCTGCCTCAGCCTCCTGAGTAGCTGAGACTACAGGCATGTGCCACCATGCCTGGTTAATTTTTGTTGTTGTTGAGTTGGAGTCTCCCTCTGTCGCCCAGGCTGGAGTGCAGTGGTACACTCACGGCCGCCGCAGCCTCGACTTGCTGGGCTCAGGTGATCCTTCTGCCTCAGCCTTCCAAGTAGCTGGACTAGTTAATTTTAAAATTTTTTTGTAGAGACGAAGTCTTGCTATGTTTCCCAAGCTGGCTTGGAACTCCTGGGCTCAAGCAGTCCTCCCACTTCAGCGTTCCAAAGTGCTGGGATTACAGGCATGAGCCACCATGCTTGGCCCTTCTGGTGTTGAAAATAATTTTTTTCCAGTTCCTGGGGGGCTTCAGGAGAAGCGAGATGGTCTGAGTTTAAGCCCTGGCTCTGCCATGACTAGCTGTGGAATCTTGGGGGAGTCATTTTAACTCTGGACTCAGCTGAGTTTTTGTCATTGGTTTTTTTCTTGGACCCAACCTCTGCATCCTCGAGGCTGCTCATCAGACCTTTCTGGAGTTTGGCTGCCTGCCCCACGCACCAGCCATCGAGTCTCACTCCGTCGCCCAGACTGGAGTGCACTGGGCACTCCTGGCCACCACAGCCTCAACCTGCTGGGCTCAGGCGATCCTTCCGCCTCAGCCTTCCAAGTAGCTGGTTAATTTTCTTCTGGGAACTCCCTCCAGAGGCTTGGGAAGGATTGATCCCACCCTGCAACTCCAAGCAGCACATTTCACCCCCAACCCCACCAAGGTGATTGGCTCTGGGGTAGGCACATGACCCAACCCAGGCCAACGAGAGCCTGCCCTGGGGCTTTCCCTGCAGCCACTGGGAAGCCTCTTTCCAAGAGATTGCTGAACTGGCCCAGTGAGTCTTAACTGAGAAACTGCTAAGACCAGAGCCCGAGGTCTGATGAATCCTGCAAGCCCCCACATCTTGCCAAGCCTTACGTTGGAACCACCTGTGGACTCTTCAGTCTTATAAGCGGATACAGTTATTTAGCTGTGACTTTTGCTTTAGTTTTCTGTCACTTATGAGTTGACACATTCTAATATCCTTCCTTCTGTGATCCCTCAGAGTCACAGATCAAAAGTCTAGTGGTGGGAAAACTTTAAGGAAGGTGAAGTTATGGGTTACATTTTAAAAAATATATCTGTGACCACTCTGGAGTTCTTCAGCTTTTTTCTGTCCCCAAGAGGCTTTTTTTCCTGGTTAATATTGTAGAAGCTGCCTGCCTAGTCTAGATATGGACTGCAACGTCTGTAGCGTTCACTGTGGAATCCCAGTGCCCTGCACACAGGAGGTACCTTATAATTACTTGTTCAATGAATAAGCAAACAAGTTGTTCCCCCCTCCCATCAGCCTGAGGGGTTGTGCAAGAAGCCCCTGCTTTTTCACCTCGCCTCCCACACTCCCCAGCTCACTGTAGCCCAGCCACGCTGGCTGCCATCCTGTCTCTTGAAGCCTCAAGCTTGTTCTTGCCCCAGGGCCTTTGCACCTGCCGGGCGGTCAAGAGGCCTCTTCCCTCATCGTCCATCTCCTCCAGGTCTCAGCTCAATGGCACTGACCACCCTGTCAAAACAGCCCCCAGCCCGCTTTCCGATGTGGTTCCAGCCCATTTGAGGTTCTTCACAAATCACCACCGGGATTTCTGTGTGTTTATGTTTATTGTTTCTTTCCCAGGTCAGCTCCACCAGGGCAGGTCCCCATTGGTCCGTTCACTGTGGTACCCATGTCCAGGACAGTGCCCGGAACATGCGGTGCCAATAAACATGTGCTGACGGAATTCACAAGTGGGGATCGGCCGTCACGACTTCTTCACCAGGACCGACAGGAAGGGCCACGCCTCACCCATTCCGAGTCTCTGGAGCAGGTGAGACATGAGTTCACGGTCTCAGGTGACAGAGCCCTATCCTGAGGCCACGGCTGGGGGGAGGGGGATGGGCCTCACCCCCTAGGCTCCTACGCCCCCCATTCCCACCCCAGTCAACCAGGAAACACCACAAGGCAGCCAAGGTTAGGTAGACTTGCTGCTTTGTTATAAATATATTATGTACATCCAAAACATGACATTAAAATATTACTCCGTGTTACAGAAAAGATATTAAGGCCTTCTATTATTTACATTAAACAAGCAAGCACCTTTAAAAAAAAAACGAGACCAAAAAAGCCCCCTCTTCCTTCTCTGACACACCCTTGCCAGAGGGGACACTGTGCCTCTTCCAGATGACCAAAACCCTTCACAGGGGTTGTGTCCCGCGAAAACATCCAGGTACTGGAGACATCAGCTCTGGCAAATCACATGGGGGCATGAGGTTGGGGCAGCAGAGGAGGAGGTCCAGGCCTGGGCAGGAGGTTCCAGCCTCTCCCGGCCAGCTGCCCAAGACCGCTGCTGAGCCTGGCCATCCCTGGGCAGCAAGGCTGGACTGAAGGTGGCGGCTGGGCCTCCCCTCACCCGGAAGCCTTCTGGGGTCAGTTTGCAGGGTCCTGGCAGGACAGTGCTCTGGAGACACTCCCTGGATCCCTGGGCCAGACGAGGGACAGACAGAGGCAATTCGGTGGCCCCAACACCAGCCACGCTGAAGTGCTGCCCGGCGGGGCGGGGGCGGCAGGTGCGCAGGGAGGGGGTGAGCCCTTCGACCAAGCACAGCCAGCGGGGCGGGACTCCCTTTTCTGCAGTCAGGCTTGGCAGGCAGAGGCAGCTCAGTGGCCGAGGAGGGACCGAGGGAAGAAAACGAAAGGAGGGCGAGAAATCAGTGGCTCAAGTATTTTGTGTCACGCGGGGTGAGCGGGTACCCGGGCCCAGCCCAGGAGACGTCCTCTCCGCGAGGCTGCATTTGGCAGATGGCTTTGGGGTGGGGCGGGGCAGGTTGGCAGCCAGGTGCAGGCCACGGGAGCTACTTGACCTTCTGGGCCCACTTCATGTCGTCCGCCCGCGGCTTCTCCCCGGTCAGGCCCTGGATCAGGCCCTCCAGGCGCCGCCAGAAACCTATCCTTTCCAGGGGGTAGTTCAGCCAGCCTGCAGGGGAATGACAGAGTGAGTGGAAGGCTGGGAGACCTGGCTTTGACAGGGTGGAGCCCAGTGGAGAGTGAGGCTACAGGGCACAGGGACTGACCAGAATCAGGGATGGGGACCTCTTCTGACGGGTCTCCGGCCCCTCAATCATCCATTTTCTTTTTTTTCTTTTTTTAAAGCAGGATTTATTGAGAGGACAGAAACGCTCCCACAGCTGGAGGAGACCTGAAGGGGTTGCCCCATCCATTTTCTTTTTTTTGAGTTGGAGTCTCACTCTGTCGCCCAGACTGGAGGGCAGTGGCCACTCCTGGCCACCACAGCCTCGACCTGCCGGGCTCCGGCGATCCCTCCGCCTCAGTCTTCTGAGTAGCCGGAATTACAGGCACGCGCTACGGCTGATTTTTTGATTTTATTGTAGAGATGAGGTCTCGTCTGCCCAGGCGGGTCTTGAACCCGTGGGCTCAGGCAAACCACTCACCTCCGCCTCCCAAAGGCGCAGGATTACAGGCTGAGCCACCGAGCCCGGCTTACTGAGCACTTTTTTTCTTTGAGTCGGAGTTACACTCTCTCACCCAGGTTGGAGTGCAGTGGCACACTCGTGGCCACTGCAACCTCGACCTGGGATCAGGGGATCCCTCCGCCTCAGCCTTCCAAGTAGCTGGAACTACAGGCGCGTGCCACCATGCCTGGCTGATTTTTTGATTTATTGTAGAGACAAGGCCTCACCAAGTTGCCCAGGTTGGTCTTGAACCCCTGGGCTCAGGCAATCCTCTTGCCTCCACTTCCCAAAGTGCTGGGATGACAGGCATGAGCCACCATTCCCGGCCTTACTGAGCACTTACTATATATATATGCTAGGCACAGTGGCGACCTTCTTATCACTTGGCTCAAATGCCACCTGTCAGGAAGCCTTCCCTGATCGCCCACTTATCCTTTATTTTTTGAAAACCTCTAACCATCTTCGTTAGTTCCCCACTTTCTGTTTTTTCCCAACCCCAACTAGAATGTCAGCTCTGCACTCCAGGACACTGTGCTTTCACTGTTGATCCTCAGAGCCTGGACAAGAGGCTGGCACACAGTAGGTGCTCAATACCCATGGCTCCCACCTCAGTCCTCCAAGTTGCAGCCTCCCACCCACCATGGGGCAGACACGGTGAGCCCCATTTGCCACACGAGAAGACAGGGGCTTGGAGAGGAGTCTCTCAGGCTCTGAACCCAGGCCCACTGAGGTGGTGAACTCATCTCCCGAACAGTCTACACTGGAATCCCTCCACCTGCCCGCCAAGGAGCCTGTGTTTAGGATGTGGCAGAAAGTATTTTCGGTGGCCCTCGATTCTGCTTCCAGATGGACTGTAAAGAAACCCAGTGGCTGGACCATAGAGGGGCCCGCGAGCCGGGCACTGTGAGTGCCGCCACCCGCCCTCCCCCCACACCCCTTC